ACTAGACAAACATCCACGCTGTCCACTCAACTGTAGTTTTTATATATATATAATATGTAATGGTCTCCACCCCGCAGAAGCTATGTGTAAGAGTTCTACACAGATGAGTTGGTCTCTAATCATTCAAAATCATGTTTTTACTGCGTTCCTCCCAAAGTTCACATTACCCCATTATTTCTAAAAATGTGTTTTCTTTACTCATAACCATAAAAAAGGGCAGAAAATTATTTCAAAAGAATCAAGAGAGATGTTTGGGAAGTTAACTATACACTCACACTACTACATTCAGCCATGTTTTTCTTCTCTAAAGAAAAGTTTCATTTCAGTTTTCACAAGTGAAACTAAAAATAAATACTTCAGAGAAACATATGAAACATTAAATATGTATCATGTTCAAATTTGCTACAGGAAAAAAACTAACTTGGAAACCAAGAACTATTCACCAACTTACTAAAATAAATCAGTTTCCAAAGGATCTGGAAATTATTGAAGGAATAATGACACGTAATCTTGGAAGTTTCTACACTCTTCTTATAAATTGGAGGTCTGTGAACTTTAAAGTTTAAGTCAAATCTAGCTCAGCAACTTCCTTGAAAAAACTTGACATTGTAACAGGACCCAATACCCAGCTGCTCTGTGGTCAAATCTATCTCTTCCTCCTAAAGGGAAAAATCGACAGAAACCCTATCGCTAGTTTGCTTTTACTCCATATTGATCAAATTCTTTACCCTGATATTTAAAATGCAAACCAAGCATTATCTTTCCCTCTCTTTTTTTCCCAGTTAGGGGGTGGATTAATATTAGATACTCTATTTTTCCAAATATTTCAAACAACTATAAAACTTATGGACTTGTTGGTTTGTGGTTTTTAGGAATGCAACAACCGGAAGAGAGACGGTGTAGACACTGCATCTTTGGGGTCAGTGTTCAGGAAGTAAGCAACCCCGAAATCACCTGCTTTTGGTACTGGTGGGCTATCTGGGAACGCCAAATGCCAGGTGTCATCTCAGAAGTGGCAGGACATGCGTGAGTCTGAATACACACCCAAGCGAACACAGGCTCACACTGAAATGCTGTGGTTATTCACAGAAATATGATGAATTTATGGTCAATAGACCACCCTATGGTATGATAAATGTGAACATTCTTCTTTTTCCATGTCAGACTATGGGATTATTTTTAACAACAGTGATGTTTGCTTTTCTTTCTGGGTAGAAGTTAACACGGAAGCATCACTACATGTGTCCTAGCTGTCATTGCACATTGCATATGTAATACGGTGGAACTACAAGGCAGAATGTACCCTAATGTAAGGGCTAGAAAGCAAAGCAGGGGCCAGCCGTGATGCTGGCAGAGCATAACACAATGTTGATGCTGGACCTACATGGGAAGGTCCCCGAAGGCCCTTGAATACGCTGGTGAATCTAAGTGCTCGTGTTGCTGGTGGATTGAAGGTGGGTGGATCTTGGTTTGAAGACTGTTCGGCATGTTTCTCTATTTCTCAAGGTAGAAATAAAATAAAAAAATAAATTCAAAGAAAGCCAAGTATTTTTAATGGGATATTTAAATAGCAAAGGACTTTGATTTCCAAAGTCAGTTTGGAAAGCAAGGATTTGGTGTGGTTAACCATTTGCTGTTCAGTTTCGCTGTGAATCAACAGGGGAAGAATGAATGGTGTTCTTCAGGATAATCACTCCCAAATAAACATTTAGAGGGTCTAGATAGCACTTCAAGGTTACGTGGATTAGCTGAGTGATTTTTGTGAGTTATGCTGCCTCTGACCCAATACAGATGACTGTGGGATATCCATTCTTCCCAGTGATTAGCTGATAGCAAGAGACTCTGGCGTGGTTCAATCATTAACCTGCTACACTAGGGGTACATGGCTCTTCAAAGCCAGACCTGGCAAGACGGGGGAATAAAAAAGAGATAGAGAGCTGCTTGGTCAACCACTTTATCAGTGGGACGCTAAGAAAGGGAGATAATACAACTTTAATCAGGGTGATATGCAATTCACGCCTGGCTCCTGTGTTCTCTGTTCATTCAGACTTAATCATTCCATTTCCAATATCTGCTCATCATCTTATCAAGCTGAATCCTAAGTTTTGTCCTAACAATGACAAGCAAGACACAATCAGTTTCTAAATACAAATTCCGGCCTCTACATAGGCTGAATAGAACTGCTATTAAAAATAAATGGAAAAGATAACAACAGATAAACTTTATTTCTACCTTCCTCTCCGTTTCACATAATTTGATGGAGTTTTAGAACACTTCCTTCCTCCCCCTGCCCCACACAGAGTCTAGTCCATAAATCTAAGTGAGAAAACCCAAATTGGAATCACCAGGTTCTGGAAACCAATAGGAAAAATCTCTGCGTTAAAAGTGATCTGAAGACGGACCCACTGTGGCTACTTCGAAGGCAGTATTTTGAATGCAGCGTTGGCAAGGTTATGACATTACTGTTTCCTCGTTAACGTTTATAATTTCCCACATGAATGTTACACAGTCCCAGGACAAATAAACGGAGGGTGGGGGCTTCCCTCATTCTTAGAAGGCTATTTTCCAATGATATATTTTGTTACAACTTCAGAGATAAAAACTGTATCTGCAAGCGATTAAAAGATGTTTTATATTCATGGTTTCATTTCTGCTGAAATAAACGTGTAATTTAAACCACACATAATTCATAGCAATTTAGGCCCATTACAGAGTTCTAGCTTCTTTTTATGATACTTACTAATTAAAACAGAGTGTTACTGCCATGCTGAGCCGGAGTCTTTGACATACAGGTTTAATGAATAAAGCGTCCTGACACAAAAATGAAACAGTAAAATAGGATGCAAGCTGTTAGGTTTCAAGTGTGTGGTAAAGATTAAGAACATTCACCGAAGTTAAGAATCGTGCAGAGAAGAAACTTGTCATTTCTTTCCTTAAAGACAAAGTAAAGGGGTTTTGAGAGTGAGAGAGACTGGGATATTTGAAATAACACTAATTTCTCCAACTTTGGGGCCCTTTGGTCCCAGTTGTCCTCATTCCCCACCCTCCTTCAAGCACTGAAACTCAGAACAGTCACTTTTTAAGAATACATGATGGGAGATTTTAATATAATCCTGAACATAGGTTTAGATTGAAAGTGGGAATTGGGACCATAATTAATTATGTTGCCAAGTTTTTTTAAACTTTGAGAAGACAGACTGAAGCAAAGGCCATTCCTTAACACTGCAACCGTCTAAAAGTTGGTGGTTTCAAACTTGGGTAAGATGACAGTATCTTTTGGACATTTGATTAATCCCATATGCAGAACGAGTGTGAGGAATTAATACCGTTTTGGTGTTTTCCCTTTCTGAAACCACTGAAATCAGAGACGGACAGAAAATCAAACCAAGTATAAACACAGTCCTCCGCTGGGGTTGCGACCTTATTATCACTCTTAATAAAAAAATAATGAATAATAATAAATACGGACCGCCCTCTACACACTCTGCTCCGTAGGCATATTCCCTCTGCTTATTCCCTCTCGCATCCATCCATCACTTCTTTCAGGATAATAAAACAATTCAATCCCATCAAATCCTCAGCAACCGCTCCCTCGGGAGGGATGTTTTATCTCTACTTCTGCGAGCCGAGCCGGGAGGGTTTCACTTGTTTGAAGGGGGCGGAGAATGGAGCCGGGTCCTATTTATTTCCATTGATAACTCCCCCGGTTCTCACAGGCGCTCAGGGACTGGGTGGGAGGAGGCGAGGAGGAGGCGCGGAGATTCCCTTCTTCAGAAAAGAAAAAGGGTTCAGGAAGCGAGGCAGGGGGCGGAGAGGAGGAGGGGGAAGCCTGGGTAGCGTGTTTGGGGAGATCGGCTAAATGGAAATTGCATTTCTTCCTTGAGATTTACGGATCGGGAGATGAGAAGCTAATAAATGCACCCACCCAAGTAAGTGGTTCAGAGGAACTCTACAAAGCAAAAACAAACAGAGACGTTTACTCGGGTTCATTTCCCGCCCCAGGGCTCGGTTTCAGGGAGCTCCCGGTACCCAGGGCAGGAGACCGACGGCACCCCGGAGGGAGGCTGGGAGGGTGAGCAACCCGACCCAGGAGAAAACAGCTCAGCGCCAGCACAGAGGGCCCCGGAGCCCCCGATAAAGGGGTCGACTGGGAAGAGGGGGTGCACAATGAACCGTACCCCAAATCTAGTAGTCTGCCAAGTGCCCCAAGAGGACAGCTGGGACCTGGAACCGCTGGTTCGGACGTGAGGGTTGGGCGCAGCGACTACTCAGAGCAGGAAGGAAGGTGGCGCGGACGCGGTGAACCCCAAATCGCCCGCAGACGGGCTGAGGGTGCGGCGCAGGGTAGCCGGGGCGCGAGGGGGCGTCCCCTTAGCGGCTGCTCAGCTGCCCCGGCGAAAGCACCAGCGGGCGTGCGGCCACCCGCCTTGGCCCGAGGAAGTTTCTCTAACGGTGCTCGCCCACCCCGAGCGCGGCGAGGAGCCAGGGCAGGCGTCGGCGGGCCTGGCCCAGGGATCCCCGCCGCTGCGCCGCCCGGACCCCTGGCCTTTGGCCCCACACGCAGGCAGCCCCCTCTGCACCCCACACCCGCAGACGTCCCCAAGCTGCAGGCGGAGGGCATGGATGGAGAGGAGGGCTCCAGCCCTCCCGGCAGGCGGGCCACCGAAACGTCCCGACCGAGTCGGGGCTAAGGGCTCCGCGGCTCCCGGACCCGCCGCACCCCTAGGTGCCGGTCCCTGGGCTCCCCGGCGGGTGCCCCGTCTCCCCATCTCCAGCACCGCTCAGGGCCACACAGCCTCGAACCCCGCCCGAAAAGCCGAGGGAGACCTGCTGCGTGCCACTCGTGCCCCCAGCTGCTCGGATCCGGCGCTCCGAGAGCCTCGCCGGGCCCTTGCGAGTTGGGGTGCGGGCTTCGAGCCCCAATCCGGAGGAGCTGCCGGGTGTGAACGCTCCTCGTGTCAGGTCTCGGGGCGCCGGGGGGGCTGCTTCCCTCTGCTTACCTGAGCAAGCCCGCTCTCCCCGGGGAGGGAGCGCTCCGTCCGGTGTGCGCGGAGCAGCCCCGG